GTAGAAAAAATAAATAAAATCTTAAAAAAAAAAAAAGGCCACCTGTTATATGACTCCACTGATATGAAATGTCCAGAAAAGGAAAATCCATGGAGACAGAAAGCAGATTAGTGGTTTTCAGGGGCTACAGGGAAGGAGAATCAGGGAATGACTGCTAATGGGTATGGGGTTTCTTTTTGGGGTGATGAAAATGTTCTGGAACTAGATAGAGGTGATGGTAGCACAACTCTGTGACTACACTAAAACCACTGAAATGTACACTTTAAAGGGGTGAATCTGTTTAAGATTTTCTCCCGCTCCCTCTCCTGTCCCTCCCCCTGCACTCTCTCTCTCTCTCTCAAATAAAGAAATAAATCTTTTTAAAAAGAAGTTTTATTGATTTAAATAATCTCTATACCCGACGTGAGGCTTGAACTCATGACCCCAGAATCAAGAGTCATGTGCTCTACTAACTGAGCCAGCCAGGAGCCCCTTTTTAGGTTTTGGATAATATTAATCATAGCCATTTTCCTATAAAGAGAATCAGATGGCCAAAGCAGAATATACTGAAAGTGATGCCATAAGAAAGAAGTTACCTGAACAAGCTAACAAGAGAGGAAGGGAAAGTCTTCAAAAAACGTCCTCCCCAAAAGACCAATTGGCTCTGATAGATTCGCTGATAAATTTTTCTAAACTTACAAATCAAAAGTAATCTACGTGTACAGCCGTGAAAATAAGGAACCCACCCAATGACCTAGTAGGATTCTTCTCAACTAAACAAGATATGCTGAGTTATCTCAATATACACCCATAAGGCACTTATAAATATAACTGTCCACTTATGATTAAATGCTTCCAGTTAAATATTTCAGAATAAGGACAGGGAGTCCTTTTTTTAAGCAAAATCTACCACCTTCTGAAGTTCTATCACAGGCCTAAGCTCTTACAATTCTTACTGCCCAGGCAGCCCATCTTAGCCTCCACCCCTCTGGAAGGCCTCCTCTACACCAGTTCACTCTTGAACTAGTTACTTATTAACAAATCTGATCACATTTTGCCTATGTTCAAAATACTCCTGCAATCCCCACGGCTTAAACAAAGAAGTCCTGGCCCCTTGACATGGAACATAAGACTCTTCCTTCAACTGGGTCATCCTACTGTCCCCAGGAAGTCATCCCATCACACTAGACAACTTATAGATCTACTCACAGGCCTTATTGTACCACCACCCAGACCCACCTGGCAAACTCCTATATGTCTCTCAACACCAGGCTGAAACACCCCTGTAAAGCCACAGTAACCAACCACCACCCCAACCACCACTTTCCATGAAACACAACAGTATCTATCAAGAAGATACACCAGCGCTCAAACATCTTATCTGAAGTTGTAACACCAAAGTCTCAAATTCTAGACCCAGCCTAGGCCACCATCATCACTCACCTCCCACCAACCATATATCCAAACAGTCCCAACAGTCTTCATCACAACCAAGGGTCTCTTGGAAATCAGAAGCACCAACCAGAAAGGCTTTAGCAGCTATCATTGTCCATCTCATGTCCCCAGTGGAATACATGCTAGTAGCTTCAGGTCCAACTCTTTATGAATGATGATACTTTCAGTTTTGGAGAATGTATGCTCATTAAGCCTCCCACACACATACCAAAAAAAGCAACCCCAGAAAATGGAAAGTGCCGCCAAAGGGGATTCTGATCTTCCAAATCCAGCAATGGGATGAAGAGTAACAGGCCCACCTTCATTCCTAAGAGGAATGTCTCCCCTCTACCCCTACATCTGTCCTGTGCTAGGTCTTCCCAGCCACTCAGCCAGCCCTGTAACCTGGGAAAGCCAGATGCAGCCATTCTTCCTAGAGAGAATCCCTATCTAGCTGCAATCTGATTCCTACTTTCTACCTTAAGGAATAATCAGGGAGATTATCAGATATGGCAGAAAGGAAAGCCCTCAGAGCTGGCAGGCAGAGTGAAATGAAAACAGGCATAATACCCACAGAGGCCCCTTTCTCCTGCTGAACAAGAGATGCACCACTCAGGATGTAAAAAAAAGTGCCAACTCTCCTGATATGTTAGTGTGGGAACTAATACCTCATCCACTGTCTCCAAGCCCCTTCTCCTATAGGCCCAAATCTGGGCCTGGACAGGGTCTGACTGCACAAGGGCCCCAAATGGACTTCCCTACAATGTTACATTCACAACATCAAAGCACATGACCGGCACCTGCCCTCCAACTGGCCGGGAGGGGGTCAAAACCCCATCTTACGAACAAGGCAAACAGATCTGGCCAGCTCCACATGGCTCCATCTCAAAGAGATTCAGGTCAGCCCAGGTAGACCTTGAACCTCCCCCTCCCACTTCATCTGCTCCACTCTATAGATCTCAAACCAAATGAGCCATGAAAAAAACGGTTCTTACTAAAGAAGGATGAGTATGTGGAACTTAGAATACCAAGCCTAGCACATGGTAAAAGGCTATATTCCAAATCCACCTCAAAGACAGATGTGAGGACTCCTTGATACAAGGCATTGGCTTTTGTTTATTTTGTTTTAATTCTATTTATACTTTTTAAACAAATAATATATTCACAAGAAAGAAAATGTGAAAACTCTGAAAATGAAAAATTTCCTTCCCAGTCCTATCCCTAGCCACCCTGTCCCTTCCCAAGGGATAGCTGATAGTACAAGTTTTTCTATAGCTTTCCAAAGATGTTCAATGCATGTACAAGCAGGTACAGATATGTTCGTTTTGCCTTTTTCATTTTTGCACATTTGGTAGCATATTATACACTGTTCTATGTCTTATGTTTTCAATTTAACAATATATCCTAGAGATTACTCCAAATCAGTACCTAAAGAACCTCCTCATTCTCTTCATGGCTACATAGTATTCTTTTCTGTGGATTAACAAAAATTCATTTAACCAATGTTCAGGGTTGCTTAAAGTGACAGTTAATAACAGATTGTAATAGTTACTTCTATATAATAAGCCTCTTTCCTCAGCCACCAAAGCAGTGCAAAAGTTCAAATAGAACATTTGGAGTAAAAAAAAAGATTAAGGGACACCTGGGTGGCTCAGTTGGTTAAGCTGCCGACTCGATTTCAGCTCAGGTCATGATCTCAGGGTTTTGCGATCGAGCTCCTTGTCTCTCTTCTTCCCCCCCCCTTGTTCCTTCTCCCTGTTGCAGGCATTCTCTCTCTCTCTCTCTCAAATAAATAAATAAATAAAATCTTTTTTTTTTTTTTAAGATTTTATTTATTTATTTGAGAGAGAGAGAATGAGAGATAGAGAGCACAAGAGGGAAGAGGGTCAGAGGGAGAAGCAGACTCCCTGCTGAGCAGGGAGCCCGATGTGGGACTCGATCCCGGGACTCCAGGATCATGACCAGAGCCGAAGGCAGTCGCTTAACCAACTGAGCCACCCAGGCACCCTCTTTTTTTTTTTTTTAAAGATTTTATTTATTTACTTGACAGAGAGAGACGGAGTGGGAGAGGGAGAAGTAGGCTTCCCGCAGAGCAGGGAGCCCGACGTGGGGCTCAATCCCAGGACCCTGGGATCATAACGTGAGCCGAAGGCAGACACTTAACGACTGAGCCACCCAGGCGCCCCAAATAAATAAAATCTTAAAAAAAAAAAAAGATTAGAGCCACATGCTACACAAAGAAGACAAACATGCCACACATATCCTGATTAATAACTAAAGGCCAGTTTTCACTCAGATCAAAGCTGAAAAATTTCAGACTCCTGACAATTAGTTGAATCCTGAGCAAGTCTAGATTTCAAGTACTTGAAATTACTCAATTAGAAAAAAAAAAAATCTGGGCGCCTGGGTGGCTCAGATGGTTGAGCGTCTGCCTTTGGCTCAGGTCATGATCCCAGGGTCCTGGGATCGAGTCCCGCGTCAGGCTCCCTGCTCCTTGGGAGCCTGCTTCTCCCTCTGCCTCTCTCTCTCTCTCTCTGTCTTTCATGAATAAATAAATAAAATCTATAAAAAAAACATTAGGGTGCCTGGGTGGCTCAGTTGGTTAAGCAACTGCCTCCGGCTCAGGTCATGATCCCAGGGTCCTGGGATCAAGCCCCACATTGGGCTCCCTGCTCAGCGGGAGGCCTGCATCTCCCTCTCCCTCTACCTGTTACTCTACCTGCTTGTGCTCTCTATCAAATAAATAAATAAATAAATAAAAAGAAAATCTGTGACTGATATTAAGCATAGATGGGAAAAGATGTAACATTTAAGTGCTACTCTCTCTTTGGAAAAAGCCAGCTGCCTTCTCTGTGTCTGAGGCACAAAAAGTAGAGAGAGCCAGGGCAAAAACACAGGGACTTTGCCTGCCTTCATGACGGTGCCAGGGCACCTTGCACCATGTCACTTAGGCCACTGAAGGGACAAATGGACTTAGGACCATCTTCTGGAACTCACCAGTTTCTGGTGGAGGCTTCTATCCCTTCAACTGTACACAGCCCAAGACTGGGCATGAGCCACTGGGCAGAAAGCGGCTGAAAGGGTGCCTGGGTAGTAGCAGAGGACCATCTGCAGGGCCCAGAGATTCCACAAATCTGAGGTTGCTGACTGCCAACCCAAGTCTCGCACACTTCCTATTTATTAAAAAATCGCCTCGACCATGTTCCAAATGGGAGGCCACTTAAAGACTGATGGTAAATAATGGTGAAGTAACAGAGAAGCCAGGGTTGGCAGGAGCCTTCTTCTCCATAAATGCTGGAGTCCCAGGCTGGTCAAAGGCCAATGGGAGTAAGGACTACTAAGGCCTATCTCCACTAGGAGCAAGCTCAGGTTGGTTTTGACTGCAAGCAGTTCAAATTCCAATTAATTTTTGGAATGGAAGCCCATACCATTCCAGCATGGCCACGTTTTAGGATCTTCCACCCAATGGCTTAGCTTTAGGTAAGGTAGTCAGCAAAATTCCCTCCAGCCTCTTGGCTGCCGCCATGATTCTCATCACAGAATGGATCAGAAGAGCAGAACAAATATTCTCTTAACCGGTGACTCACCAGGAAGTCTGTTCATGTTGACGCCTTGAGCTGAGAGTCCTATTCCCATGTACCTTCAAAAAATCACACACAAAAAATTTTTGGTTAGCAAATGATTATGCATCTCCCTTCTAAAATATTTCCTGGTAAAAGAAAAACAGGAAAAACAATGAATATAGAGATTCTTAACACACTAGTGGTTCTTGGAGAGCCTTCACATTTTGATTTTCTAATGAAAATCATCTCAATGCCTTAAGTAGCTGGAGAAACAAGAGGTAGTGTCTTAACCAGGAACTTCAGTTTCGGACTAAAGTTTCCCGAAATCACTGCTTCCAGTCCTCCCTTGATTTCTGGCTCTGGCTAAGGCAGCGGAATCTATCCTCAAGAAGTACCTAAAGTAAGTAGCTGAATCCTAAGTAGTACTTGGCAGAACAATGCAAGATCAAGCTCACAGGGTCAAGCCACTCTTCACCAAGGACCAAGACATGGAAAAAGTACAACTGTATCCCCTATGCTGTACTTTACATCTCTAATCCAGGCCCATTTTAAACTTTTTTTTTTTAAGATTTTATTTATTTGACAGAGAAAGAGAGAGCGTGAGAGAGAAAAAAAGAGAGCACAACTGGGGGAAGGGATAGAGGGAGAGAGAGAAGCCGACTCCCTGCCAAGCAGGGAGCCGGATACGGGACTCGATCCCAGGACCCTGGGATCATGACCTAAGCCAAAGGCAGAAGCTTAACTGACTGAGCCACCCAGGTGCCCCCACACAAAAAAGTTTTTTAAAGTAATTACATAGGGTTGCCTTCTTTTGACCATTCCCAAGTGGCTGCACATTTACATTCCAATTGTTCCCTGTTGTAAATGATTCTGCAAGGAACACTTCCACATACATTTCCCCATCTTGGATTATTTCTTTTTTTCCCCCCAACATGCTCCATGAACCTACATTACCTGTTTCCTAACACTACCTGAGTTCCCGCAACATGGTGCTCCTGTCTCTGTAAGTCCTTCATCTACAGTAAATGCCCCTTTGCCCTTCTCTGGCTGGCTGTGCCACTGTGTTTTGGGGGAGCAGCCTCTACCATCCAAATAAAGGATCAGACAGGGAAGGAAGGCTCTGACCCACACATCTTCCTCTGAAACCAGCTACCCCATCATGCTGGCAGGAACCAGGAAAACACCAACCAACACATGACCCTGATAACTTGGCCTGCAGGAGTTAGGGGAAAGAGGAGGGAAGGGAAAGGAACAGCACTTCAAAGAGGGACTTGCAAGGTTCAAAGGACTGAGACTATCAAACTGCCTGTGACCTCCTGCCAAAAATGGACCTTGAAGAAGCATCAGGGGCAGAAGCAGTGTAAGCCTGCTGGCAGGATTCCCATTAGATTAAAACCTGTACTTTTTCCCAGAAAAACAGCAGCCCAAATAATCAGCTTCCTTACTTCACATGGTAGAGGCTGCCAAAAGCTGGTCTCCATTCTCTTAATGTCTCGGCTGACCAAGCAGCAAACAACCTCAACTGCTCGGCAGTCATCAATCAACATAATCATGTACAACATAGCCAGGGGTTTCCCTGACTTGGATGTCAGCCCACTCATCCTGCCCTGTTTGGAGGGGCCTGGGTCTCTGCCCAATACCACATGTGATCCTACCCTAGCATACAGGTTTCCTGACACTAAGATGAGGGTTTGTGTTTAGAGCGCATGTTTCCTGGATGACCCTTAACCACTTAAGGTTAATGCAAATAGGGAAGGTCAAGCAGCTTGGCCACCAGCAACAGGGGTCTAATTCCATAAATTTCCATGGGAATGAGGAACTACTAAGGCACAGGTACTCAAACACAAGTTGCTTAGGCTTCTACACAGGGGAAGCCTTTTCCACCTCCAGCAGCTAGCCCTCAACACCTTGCTATAAACTCTCTGCCCCATAGGTGGAATAGTGTTTACCAGTGGATGGCCTGGGAGCCTTTACATAAACCCTAGGGTCAACTTGTGAACCCAAGTGGATGAGCTAAGGGTAGACCACCCAGAGGAGATCCAATACCCACACTTGGATTGCCCTGTCACCTGCAGGTGTCAATGATACAGGGAGCAACCCCACAGGAGCCTAAGTTGCATATTCATAAGAAATTGGAGTTGAGGGCGCCTGGGTGGCTCAGATGGTTAAGCGTCTGCCTTCAGCTCAGGTCATGATCCCAGGGTCCTGGGATCGAGTCCCGCATCGGGCTCCCTGCTCCTTGGGAGCCTGCTTCTCCCTCTGCTTCTCTCTCTCTCTCTCCTCCTCTGTCTCTCATGAATAAATAAATAAAATCTTAAAAAAAAAAAAAAAAAGAAATTGGAGTTGAGTCAGTGTTCAAAAGAAATTAGTCCCAACTCTTCTAACAATGGGTGACACTATCTCTTCCAAAAGTATGATGTTATAAAATTACAAAAACTCACAGCCTTCTACCTTCCAGCACGTCTTTATGCACTTGAAAACTATTATCCAACCAGTTTGTGATAAGCAGAGTAAAAAAGCTATAAGGATCCCATGAATATACTAAAAAATGTTGAATTGTACACTTTAAGTGGGGGAATTGTATGGTATGTTAAGTTACATCTCAGTCATACTCAACAAAGTAGGAATAAAAGACAACTGTCTCAACATAATAAAAGCCATATATGATAAGCCCACAGCTAACATCATACCCAATGGTGAAAGACTGAAAAACTTTTCCTAAGATCAGAAACAAGACAAAGATGCCTGTGTTTGCCACTCTATTCAACAGAGTATTAAAAGTTCTAGCCGAAGCAATTAGACAAGAAAAATAAAAGGCACCCAAATTGGAAAATAGGTAAAACTATCTCTTCCAGAGATGACATGATCCTATATGTAGAAAACCCTACAGTGCTATTAGAATAAACAAATTCAGCAAAGTTGAAGGATACAAAATCAACAAATGAAAAACAGTTGATTTTCTATACACTAACAGTGAACAATGAAAAAGGAAATTAAAATAATTCCATTTAAAAAATACAGGGAGGGGCGCCTTGGTGACTCAGTTAGTTAAGCGTCTGCCTTCAGCTCAGGTCAGGATCCCAGGGTGCTGGAATTAAGCCCTGCGTCGGGCTCCCTGCTTGGTGGGAAGTCTGCTTATCTCTCTCCCTCTGACCCTCCGCCTCGCTGGTGCACTCACGCTCTCTCTCTTAAATAAATAAATAAAATCAACCAAAAAAAAAAAAAGAAGAAGAAGAAATACAAATGATTTGTATTTATTTGGCCCCAGAAATTGTCATCAAGGAATTTCCTTCAACTAAAACGAGAGGACAGGACATAGAGTTACTGTAGGTGTAAGATTTAGACTTAAAAAAAAAAGAAGAAGATAGCAGGAAAGGAGA